TACTAGAAGTTCTAGTTTGTGATGAAGGACTCTACTGGCAGAAGAGAAGTACTCAGTATATTCTCTGGTCCCGGGTTCAAATCTGACTGGAAGCAGTAACTTTTAAACATTTTAACTCAGCACTCGAACATGATGCACATCAGCATACAACAAACAGTTGTTTTTCTCTGTAGTTATACTGTTTATCATACAGTAGATATGATCAGGGAAGACCAAACATTACTGTAAAAATGATTTGAGGTTCTTCAACTCCCTTCGATAGCTCAGTTGGTAGAGCGGAGGACTGTAGTGGAAATGCCAGACATCCTTAGGTCGCTGGTTCAACTCCGGCTCGAAGGAGTTCTTTAAGTATATTAATCCATAGTCTGCAACTAAACAAAATACCCATTCTAACTGATATGGCTTGTACACAACAGCCATCAACTTGTGTTTAAATAAAGAGGGTCAAAGAAAAATGTTCACTCTTGTAAATAAAGCAGAAGGGCCTCTTCAGGATAAAGGCTACAGCAGAATCTCTGCCGTAGACTTTATCCTGAGCTTGTTCGTACCTGCTACAGCATTAACTGCAGTTTAAACTGGCATCAAATACATGAACAAAAATCCTACAGACTACTTCAGCCCTCAGACCTACCAACTGAACTAGGGGTGATGCTGTGATCTAATGTGCTTGTTGTCCGTGGGTCATACTTACACAATACACTCAGTAATAGTAGGGGCCCTATTCTGAACACAATCGTGAGGGAAATGTGTTTCAGCGACTTGTTTACATAGTTAGTCTACGTAAAACAACTAAATGTCACTCTCAGGTGTCAGGTTTATACAAAAGGTTTTATTCTGTTTTCATGTTATTCCTCCCATGGTGAGAGTCAACAGAAAAGGATTCTGGTACTGTTTCATTGTCTCATAATGTCTCCCTTCGATAGCTCAGTTGGTAGAGCGGAGGACTGTAGTGGATGTACCTGTCAGAGTGGTTACCTCAGTTATCCTTAGGTCGCTGGTTCAAATCCGGCTCGAAGGAAAACCTTTTGATAACATGGTACTCTCTGTCCTCACATTGGTAGCTTCTGGTGTTTGGAGATGTATGTTTTGGGCACATATAGGCCCAATCCCAAACGACGCCCTACACACTACCCCTCCGTTTGCGCGTTCGCGCGGAGGGTCCGCCACATTAAGTGCTGTTCCAAACCAACGAGTGTGGAGGGGGAGTGGGCTATCAAGCCCTCAAACAGCGAGTCTGCATCGGTGCTGACTTCACCTGCTGCCTTACCTGACCGGACTCAACGCTGTGTGTGTCCGTCAGGAAACACGCTGTTTACCAACAGTTCCTGCAAACATCCGCTGATAAATTGCGATGTTAAGAACCTCATGATAACCTCATATTTGTTTTACTTAGGATCGTATACCTGTGTTTAGTCTAGAAAAAGGTAAATGTGTGCATTTTATTATAAAGTTGTGTATATTTACAGACTGTTGCAAAAACTAAGAAGTTTATAAACATCAGGTTTAAAACTAAAAGAGCTTTCCAAAAAAGTAACACAATTAAAGATGTTTGGAGTTTTATTTGAGTTATTAATTTTAATTTTTTGTCTAAGAGATGCTGATTTGAAACCGTTGTTACATACAGTTACGGCATTTCCTGTTTCTGCCGGAGAGAGGGGAGTTTGTCCCAAAGCTTGCCGCTGTATTTACTCCCTCCATCTGACAGGAGGGAGCCTTGTTGAGCTGGGAGTGTCACTCCACGGAGTTCACTCCGTCACGGAGGGGTAGTGTGTAGGGGTAGGGCGTGGTTGGGATTGGACCATAGTTCTGATATAGTACAGTACCTAATTTAAAAAAGACCACCTTCCCTCTTTATCAAAAATGTCTTAATGCTTGTCTCTTTTCAAACGGTTGTTACCTTAGTGAACTATCTGAAATAAAGCTTAGAACACTAGTTTTTCTTCACAATAATTCAGCGTTTATACAAACCTACTTTGAACTTGTTGCTCCAGAGTCTGAGCCACTCATTTACCTCCCTGGTCATTGTCAATATCCTTTTGTGTTTAAAAGTCACTCCTTCGAGCCGGATTTGAACCAGCGACCTAAGGATGCCTGGCATTTCCACTACAGTCCTCCGCTCTACCAACTGAGCTATCGAAGGGGCGCTTGATAGTGCTGTCCCGGTCATTTTAAACACAATAGAGCGGGTAATGTGCGCTTAGCGCCTACCAAAGGGGCGTTTGTTTGAGTAAAGTACCTTGTTTACATAAAAAGTCCATGGAAAGTAAAATATCAGGGGCAAATGGGAGTTTTCTCACATGTTTTTCCTCACTTCATTATTCTTTGCCTCCCACAAGGTACGATGAAGAGCAGGCTCAGAGTGAGAACGCTGAGCGGGACCTGCGGAGCCGCTCGGGTCAGTCCCTGGGGTCAAAGGGCAGCAAGGGGAGTGCAGGCGTTCGCCCTGCCGCCGCCACCTGGAAGTGAGGTGACATCGCTGGCTCTTAACGACTTCCTCTACATCATTACAGAGTCCAACAGTGGGCACAGGGGATAAAAAATAAACCAGACTTTTTTTTTTTTATCCTTGCTTTTTCGATGGAGGACTGCTGACCCTGTCTCCACATTTCACTGACTGAGGGGAGACAACTCCACTGCTGCAGGGGAGGAAAATCAATATTGTGGTCATATTTGGAGAGTTAATAAGCCTGGGTTTGGGACTGTTTGTATAAATGACTAACTAAAAATACAGACATTATGTTGGTGGGGTCAATGTCCCAACAGCTGCTCGCACCCAAGCCCATGCTCCCTGTGAAGATAAGGACAAAATAAATGAGAGAAAGAAAAAGTCCATGAAACCTTGAAAAGGAGGACATTTGAAAGTAGTAAGTTATGTAACCAATGGAATTACAATCCAACGTAACAAGGAGGATTAAAACCTCCTGAACTATGCATGATTACGAGTCCTTACACTTTAACTTGACCCCACACAGGTGCTAAAAAGAAGAAGCTCTGAGAGGAAGTGGAATAATAAAATATACAGAATCTAAAGGGACAAGAGATTTAACTGTTATAAAGAGTCTAGAGATATAATATACGGATATAATTAACTGTGCTTAATGTGTTTAATGAGTTTAAATAATGATTTTTATATGTTTATTATCAGTATGCATTTGCAGGGGGCTTCATTACGATTGTATTCAGAGCTGAACCCTGTCGCACTTTATCAAATTGTTTTCGCTTGACTTTAAAAATCAATATGTTGCATTTTCCGTTGCACTGAAGTCATATCTACTGCACATCTTAAATACTTATATGTGTTGGGAATGTATTAGCTCTCAGCTTTATTTTTCTGCTACTACTGACATGTTGAATTAGCAATGATGACAAGCCTTTTGATTCACTGAAGTAAGGCTACAGTATTTCGTTTTTTTAGCAGTATACTTGGTACTGTGGTATTTTGTTTACATATAATGTATTAGTTAACAATGATTAGGGTAATTTAAAGTGAAGAAAGGGTCAATACACTCACCAATCAATCAAGGCTAAAGTCAATGATCAAAATAATCATAATAATCTCTTTATAACAAAGGGGGTCTTCTGTATATTGATGAAAGTAAAATGGAGAAAGCGTAAACACACCAGTGACCTGATTAAGATTACATTCCAAGGGGTTCTATAGCCTTTGATAAATCTAGTCTCTCTGGAGTTTAGATTGATCAGAGGTCAATCTTTCAAAAGCTAAATGACCTTTCTGTTCCTGCTGTTACTGACAGGAGATTAAGCCTCTGCATGGCACTGTTGCTTGTCCTTGAAATGTTGACCCTTCTACCACCTCTACCTTGTTGTTTCCTCATGGACCGTTACTCATGCAGAATTTCCATTTGTCAAGGTGTGTTAGCCATAAGTGTGTAAGCGTGTTGGAATGAAATCTCTTACGAAATTCCCCCTAACCATCTGATCTGTATGAGTAAGTGTTGGGCAGAAAGACACTCACATCATGACCACATTTACTGAGAGATGTATTTAACTCCCAGGTGTGAGTCGACATGATGGTAGATTCTCACTTCTTTATTGTGGTTATAAACTGTGCAGCTTTTTTTATTTGAGCTTTGCAGTACTGATATCTCTTTGTATGAGAAATGCATTATTTCCCTTTAGTTTGTATCTACCTTTCAATAAAATATCCATATTGGTGCTGCCTTGACAATAAAAATGTTTTGTTTCTTGAGGGTGAAAATATGTTTGGGATGTGGGTGACTTGGCCCTTTAAATTTGTGCGGAAATGTTTTAATTTACAACATTTTTTAAGTGTTTGAATTCCAGTAAATGTAAAATAAATAACATTAATTAAGGATGGATTACTTAAACAGGCAACTACTCTAGGTCCCCAAGGGGATCAGAAAAACAGGGTGCCTTCCTTTTATGGAGTTTAAGAGAAATCAAACTAATCCTAATTTTACTGCCAATCCCTCAAAGCCTCGCTAATGTCCCTTGGCGGGCCCCAGGCTTCATAGTGGAAACCACTGCCATTGGGTGCTGGTTGCTACCATGGTTGCTACAGAGTAACCAGAAAACCCTTTTAAAGGGATGTGACGTCCGGCCGCCGCACCTCTCCGTAGTTTGGATAAAGTTTACCAGTCATATTGCAAGGTCGGAAACTGGATGATTTCAAAGTAAAAATGTTCCCACTTAATTTATTAATCTCATGGATTAAGTTTCATTTCATAGTCAGGCAACATATGTTGTATTTTTCATTTTGTCTTTAAGTATACTTCCAGATATTTGTAAACCTAACTGAAATTACTTATATGGCCCCTTTCATACAAACATGTGAAACAAAGGTAGAATAATTCACCTGAAATGTAAAAAGGTAGATAACGTATTAATACATTTTAAACTCAAACAGAGTTTTAAGATTTTACGCAAGTAAAGTGTATGCATGTATTTTACTTTCTACACCAGACGTGGTTTTATTTTGAAAATACTGACCGGATGTTATGTGTCGTACTTTGGCTAACTGACGATTGTGTCAGTCAGACGATCGATGGTGCCGCTGCTGAGCAGAAAAACGGACGAAAAGATTTGTAAATTGGCATCACCAAGCGAAGTAACTCTTCAATTAAACTCTTACGTCAGGAGGAATAACCCTGTGCGAGGTAAGTCAAAACTAAGAATTACAAAACTTTGTACCATTTAACTTTTTACTGAAGGGTCTGTGGCTAATTCGCTAACATTGGAGCTAACGTTAAGGGGCTAACGTCAAAAGTTTTAACGTTACTTCCCGATGGGAGGCGGATGGTAATGTGGTAATACAAAATGTAAATGATTTCCTTTAGTGAAAGCTACAATAGCAAAGAAGGATATCAGGTTTGTAACAAGTTATAGGTTCCCCTAGCTCACCATTAACTATGTATTACACGGTTTCGGCAACATGGATATATCAGGGTTTCGAAAGTCCATAGACTTAAATTAAGCCAGCACCGTTAGGCTGGAGTTCAAAATGTCACTGTAATTTACTTTAGTTATTAACCTGGTTACTAAATGTAGTTTCCTCAGGGAGTTTTACCCCAGCTGTTTGGTTTTCTCAGGGCTAGACTATTGTTGCATTGCCTGGAGTGATAAAGGGCGGGGCAGGTTTCGCAAGTAAAGATAATCATGTCCTATCATCCTGCATGTGTGCCTACAGCATTACATCATTTTCAATGGAGAGAGATTGTTCAATTCCTGCAGGCTGCCTGTTCCTCTGATCGGTGCTCACTGTTTGAAAATGCGCAGTGCCAGCCAGCTGCCAAGTCCTGTGCTGGCTCATTATATACTGCACATTTAACCAGTGGTGGAAGAAGTACTCTGATTTCCACTTAGGTAAAAGTAGCAATAACAATATGTAAAAGTACTTAGTTTTGAGTAAAAGTCCTGCATTCGAAATCTTACTTGTGTGCAAAAGTGTCAGCATCTTAATATACTCAAAGTATTTCAGAATCGCATAAATATTGAGTGGATTAATATTATGATTATTGATGTGTTTTTATCACAGCTGCTAAAGGTGGAGATCATTTGAATAACTTTATATACTGCTGCTGTATATCTTAACCTACACAGTTATGTCAAAGTTTGATCTATATTTATATCATAATATAATCAATTAAATAATTGATGTATGTTCTGAATTTAGCTAATAAAATCTAAATCTAAAGAAATAACTAGGAACAAAAAAAAATCCAATAAATAAAGTGGAGTAAAATTTACAATATTTGCTTCTTAAATGTAGTGGATTAGAAGTATAAAGTAGCATAAACTGAGATAACTCGGGTAAAGTACAAGTACCTACAAATTGTAAAATGTTTGTATACATGTACCAAAGTTGCACACACTGAAACACATTTGTTATATCAATCAGGACGTTTGTGAATGTACATGTATGGTCTTTTCTTAGAGCATGACAAACACATACTCATGATATGTTGGTGAATCAGAGGACGTTATCAGTCATCTCAGTCATGCAGAGTATTTACTTAGACATGCCTGGTGACAGCAAGAGGGTTGGTACCTATGTGGCTTTGTTTGTTGGTAGTGTTTTCAGGGTAAAGCAGTAGTGAAATCGACTTGTTCCTTATATCTGAAGGGGGCCCTGTGAACTGGTTGTTCTGTCACAGATCTGAGCTAAACTTAGAATGGGTATTCCAATATAGGCTGAAGGCGCTGCTCTCCATTTAGAGGGATCTTTTGGGTGTATTCTGCAAGAGCAAACATTTAGCAGTTAAAGGGATGTGACACATTGTAGCAGAATTAAATCATGTTATTCTTGTAGTCTGTCAGTATAAGTTAACATCAACTATTCCCATCAAAGTAGTAGAGTGTACATTTGTAAGCAAAACTGGAAAATAATAAAAGACTTAATGAGCTGGTTTTCTTATTCTTCAATGAATATACATACAATGTCTTTAGTTAGACAACATAAGCAGTATATGAAAGTTAGAAATGAGCTTTTTGGAAGTTGTAATGGGATTTTCTTCCCCCGTTTTCTTTTGCATTTCTAGGCAAAATATATTAATAGATCTATCATAAGAATTTGAGTCTAAACTAGAATTCAAAAGACAGAAAAATAGTAAGTAGAGTCACTTTTAATGCAAAAAGTACAGATATTTGCTGGTACCAGCTTCCTGAATGTGAGTATTTTATGATATCATCCAATAACTTTTCACTCTGATTGTTCGAAGGGATGAAATCACCTTGGACTTTAGGAAATGATAGTGCTCATTTATTGATATTGATAATAAAATATATATCTTAGTTACATTCCTTATTCACAGGTTTTTCAGCTCATTGTGAATGCAGTAAAGCAGCTCCAGAACCTTTTAAATCAGATGTTTGATCTTAAATCTTCTGTGATATGTTATCTTTGTTAAAAAATGGTGTGAACACATAGAGTATGGAATACAGTATACCAGGTCACAGGGTTAGCTAGCAGATGACTTTTGTTCGTGGCCCTTTCCTGAAAGGTCTGTCACTTTAAACGCATCACATGACACTCAGTGTGCCGGACAGTGGCTTCCACAGGAAAATGTGCCCCGTTCGGTGACGTCAGGATCTCCCCTTCCCTGTCATGTAATACTGAATTTCCCTCCATTATGTTGCTCTCTATGGTGCTGGCGTGTCCAGTGGAAAATGCTTGAAAGTGTGGAACAAACGCCATTGTTTTTCCCTTCCCATGGAGCAAGTGGGACTGGTCAGTTCTGTTGAGGCTACAGCTGACCTGCTGCTAATGGACCAACGGTTTAACTGTCTGCCTCTGTCAGTGATATCTATTAAGGCTGGATTGGTGAGAGTGACTTATCAGGAGGCTTCTCCACATTAGAAAGGCCATGTCTCTCAGAGATCAGCAGGCCCTTGCAGCTGTTGAGCTCGCATGAGGAAGGAGGGCAGAGTTGAAAGAAAATCAAGGTCATGACCTGCGTTTGCCATGGAAACGTTTGACCTTCAAGCTTATGTGCAACAAGAGAGAAATAAGCAAAGGAATGATTGTATTTATTTCTCTCATAGCCCAGTCGGGATTTAGCCGTGTCTTGCTGTGAAACTTTAATATTGAAGGGATAGATCGGCTCAGCTGCACTCCCTGCCTGGGAGATATTGGGGCCGTTTTGTGCAACAAAGGAAGGAAATGGCAACAAGGGAAAAATAACTACTGCTTAGATAAGCAGTTTTCATGTGATTAAGACATGAAGCCCTCTGCACTTGGAGTGTTTTTAAGCTTGTTGTTATGCAATCACACCCTCTAGCATTTGTCATGATTATTTAAGTTAGTTGAGAGTTGCTGTGTCTTCTTGTTTTCGTTCATTCTGAAGTAATGGTCAGTAGAGCTACCACCAACAATTGTTTTAATCATGGATAACTGTAAGTATTGCTTTCTAGATTCTTTGTTAGTTCTATAAAATGTCAGAAAATGGTGGAATATGCCCGTTTATAAAGCAGATCAATGTTTGAAATAGGTCCTAGTTTCTGAAAACGAAGTGTCTTTCCTGAAAAATTGAACTAATGAAAGCAATGACTTAGTCAGTTCCTCTTGTTTTTAAAACCGTGGAGATGTAAGTCAGACATTCTCATTCACACACTCTGTAGCAGTGTTGTTTCTCTTGCTTGCGTTGACAATCGTGTGGACAAGGCTGCCTGGAAGGTCTCAATATTTAGCAGGAAACATTTGACACAGGATAACTCCACTTACTGTGCACACATTTCCCCTCTGCAGCCGTCTCTGATTAGTAGACAGAACCAAATGTAGAGATTGTGTGACATTAAGCTGCTGATGTCCTTGCTATTTCTGTTGATACGAGTTTATTCTCAAGTGACCTGCCCTAACCATCACCACAGTTTAAAACACACAACCTTGCACATCTTTACTGCACACAGGGATTCATGAAGTGCAGTAAGAAAATGTTGTTGGTTTCACCCACTAACACACACTCGTAGCTCCAGGGCAGGTATGCATGTGCCTGTCATTTCGTGCATGAGCTCATCTCTCCTCTCTGTGTGTCCGTTTGTTTCCTGCGCCTCAGCCCTATTTATGACACTGTTTCAGTGTGACGAACCCCAGAGCACTCTGAGAAACATAAACACGGGGCGGATGAATAGACAGTCTGCTGGTGGTTTCTGGGAAAGAATATGCTCTTGTTCACAAGGTCCTATTTTGAACCACCATCTTTCAAATATTTTGAACATTTGTCTTTCGTATTTCTCATTTATCTCCAATAGAGTGCCCGGAGAATGAGTCCTAAAACCCAGAAATGAGGTAGAATTCGTGCACTTCAGGTTCCCTCGTCTCAAAGTCTATTGTTTTTTTGAATGGGTGATTCTTGAAATAATGTCCGCGGTTGTTCACGTTTTGTTCTATGACATAAAATATGCCAATACAGTACACCATACCCAACATAAAAGTCACCAGACTTGGAAACTCATCTACTCACTTATCACCTTACAGCCTCTTTGTGTTTATACTCTTCTAAGTAAATATCGTGAACGCTTATATGTATCAATTTAACACCCTAAGGGAAAGGTTTTTGTGAAAGGGGTTGACACTTTAAATCAAATCACAAGTTTGAAGCTCAGAGGTGAGGTTAAAGTCCTGTGACCTTGGTGAAGTTTGCCTATAACAAATGACGTTTATTTGAAAATATCCTCTTGCTGAACAAAATATAGAAAACAAACATTAATGTGAACTTGTATTTGTCACAAAGTTTATCTTCTGGAATAATCTAAAGATCCCTTTGGCCGGGGATCCAGAGTAATGCTAACTTCTGTGTGATGCTAACACTGTATTTTCCACCCCCCACATTGGTTATAAAGGTCATTGGCATCCCGTGTCTGTTTGCAACAGCACTGCACAGTAAGATTTCATGTGCTTTTAATAACACACACGTTCATCTCTTGCTTTTGCTGTCTCACTGTCTCCCTCTCCTCCCCCATTAGCCTGCTGCTTGTCACATGCAGCTGTCGCTCTGAATCACCTTTTCTCAAATGGAAAAAAACGACCAATATTAGTTATTCTGACTCTAAAACACCAAAGCCAGCTTCAGCTTTGGAAATGTGGATACAAACTGTTGTAGTGACAGTGTGGGAACTTGCTTAACATGCCAAAGTTCAGTTTAGGAATGAGGAATGCATCGTTCACTTCTATCTTAGGGCTTGTTGTCAGCAACCAAATTCCAGCTTTCTGAGTGCATTTACTTATCAGACTTCAGTGCGTATCATTGTTGTGTTTAATTATGTAATCGCTAAGCTTGTAATCTAAGCCCCTCTGTTTCTGCAACCTTGATGAAGCCATGCATCTGTTGCTTAAAATCTAAATCACAGACCCAATGATTAATGGTCATTTCTCCATCTTACGTCTACAAGTTTCCCTCATGCACACGTGTGTTCTGGTTACGTGCATAGCAGCTCATAGTGATGGATTTTCCAGTGTTCCCCTGTAGAGGGACAGATTAAGTGGACTTTAGACCTGGCCTTAGTCAACAGCGTTATTTGCAGTTGTAGGTCAAGCTGCGTTCAATTGTTTAACTCCTTCCAAATGTCCTACAGAGCCAAGGGTGTGCAGACGCTTGTTCCTGTTTGCTGTTGATTAAATCAGGCCTCGGAAATTACTTTTGTCGCAAAGGAATTCCAAATTCATTGTTGTGGCTTAAGATATTTTGGAGGTTATTTGTCCTTGAATTTTAATCGTAAGTTTTGCTAGTAAACCCACAACGTTACAAAACTTTAGCTTGATCCAAGGACTACAAAATGTATACCTGTTGGGTGATACGTGACAGGATCATTTTATGGGACAAGACAAGAGAACATGTATTTTCATGATATAGTTTAGAGGCTTAACGTCTACATTTCCTTTATCCACTACATGATCAATTCTCCAAATGTTTGTGTGTTAATATCCCCAAACTATTCTTACATTATTAAGACAAAGGTAAAGAGTCAAAAGTAACTTGATATTTCATTCTGTCGACCTTACATTCTGTGTGCACTGCAGAGGAAGATCTGTACTCAGGTTGTCTCTTGTTTAAATCTAGTATGCTGCTGTGATCATGCTCAGTGGAAATGTGTGCTCAGCAGCGTTTGATGTCAGGAGACTTGTTGCCATGTTTAGACTGGATATTTGTGGCTCGGTCCATGTGTCCCTTGTGTGTCTAATGCTGCAACGGAGATTGAGGAATGAAGAATATGGACAGCTGCTGGGGAAACTCAGCAGGGACATGAAGACACGCCTGGGCTGGAAACGGTGTGATTTTCATGCTGATAATTAGGCTTGAATTTATCCACACACACCTCTTGCAAATTTACATTGCAATGGATCTCTAACAGTCAACATGGTACATTAATATTGATTTGAATGGAGTAAGGGTTTGAAGCAAAAGATGTGTGTGTGTGTGTGTGTGTGTGTGTGTGTGTGTGTGTGTGTGTGTGTGTGTGTGTGTGTGTGTGTGTGTGTGTGTGTGTGTGTGTGTGTGTGTGTGTGTGTGTGTGTGTGTGTGTGTGTGTGTGTGTGTGTGTGTGTGTGTGTGTGTGTGTGTGTGTGTGTGTGTGTGTGTGTGTGTGTGTGTGTGTGTGTGTGTGTGTGTGTGTGTGTGTGTGTGTGTGTGTGTGTGTGTGTGTGTGTGTGTGTGTGTGTGTGTGTGTGTGTGTGTGTGTGTGTGTGTGTGTGTGTGTGTGTGGTGTGTGTGTGTGTGTGTGTGTGTGTGTGTGTGTGTGTGTGTGTGTGTGTGTGTGTGTGTGTGTGTGCTCACTTGTTTATTAATTGACTTAATGTTTCAGCTCTAAATATGTAACAAGAGAGGCTTAATAGAATTAGTTATGACTGATTGCAATACATATGATGATACTCTGATTTGATAATATATAAGGCTTGAATGGCTGGTCTTCAAGATAAATGTTATTAACTAATTTACGTTCAATTGCTTTGTCATCACCTCATGCTACTGAATCAAACATAGTGTGATATTGAAGTATTTGGCACATACAGGGTGCTCTACAAACCCAATTGTGTCTGTCGAGGCTTTTATTCATGAAGAAGGTCATTCAAATGAAACATGTGGTTTTCTCTAGAAGTGAAAGACAACATCTGTTTACATGCCTGTAGCTGTGTGTGTGTGCGTGTGTACTGTACGTGTGTGTGTGTGTATTTTTATCTGAATGAACTAATTGTAAACTACAAACGCAGTTAAAGAGCGGATTGTTCCTCAGCTAGCAGTGACCACAATACTCTCCTCTGTCCATGTCCTGTCCTTCAGGGCACGGGCCACTGACCATTGGCCAATGACACACACACACACACACACACTGAACGAGCCGTCAAATTCTCGCTGAAAGAGGCCCTGTGTGTTCACACTCTGCACTAAAATGCATTTAGTTTGATCACAAGTAGACAACTCAAGACGGGTATTTTTGTAGATAGTATCAATTATTGATGAGTGTGTCTCAGTCTTACAGGGAGTGAGTCATGGAGAAATGGGCTCTAGGGCTGTAACCAATTATTATTTTTACCATTATTTAATTTATCAATCATTCTTTAAGCAATAAATCAATTATTTAGTTGGATCATCACCATTGAGTTCAAATGTGTCTCCCATGGTTGCAGTGCAATGGCTGGTGTCCCCTGCAGGTCACAGCTGTACAGAAACACAATCTGAATATATATAGTTACCCGATAGCAGATCAGAAGGGAGCGAGTCAGCCTGCAGAGAGAGGAGACTCTTCAGGCTGATGGAGACAGCAGGAGAGGAAGAGGATGGAGGGGATGAATAAAGGGAGACTGTTGAGAGTGAAATGATGGCGGTGAGGAGAGAAGAGGGGGAGAGGAGAGAAACAGAGGACTGTCTGTGGTCCCCGTCTGAAGGAAACGGAAGCTGCCCGCTGTGACAGTTTATTTTACTCTCTCAGAATTACACACACACACACACACACACACACACACACACACACACACACACACACACACACACACACACACACACACACACACACCATCCATGTGCTGCTAGGGGTTCAATGTGTTGTGTGTTTGTGGGGTTATAGAAGTGGATGAAAACACCCACCTGCTGCCTTGATTATCAAACCAGATCACACACTTTCACTCCCCTCATACTTCCATTTCTATTCGTATCACTCCTCAGAACTACTTGCTTTCTCTCTCATTATTATTCTTCCTTATTCTCAGTGTCTTAGGTATGTTGTTGTGACAGAATGATGAATGTGGATGTTCTCCTTTGGCTGTTGGTTTCATAGAGATAGACAGACTGATTAAAAGATATGTTTTCTTTCCTGTTTAGTGAATATATTTAGTAACTCAGCGGTCTCTAAGTTTGGCTCATTCTATACTGAATTTGAAAGCTTATCTGGAAGTGTGTATTATGAATCTACATGCATATTTTTTATAATGTATCTATATCGATCAATAGTTTTCCCTTTCATTTTCTCATTGTATGGAGTGGAATCTTTAGCAAATAATTAAAAAAATGTAAAATAAATGTGTATGGTTTAATCAAGCTCCAGCAAAGAGTTAATATCTCTTCTTCATAACATACTAGATATAATATATGACTAGTCAATTTAATATAGTTAAATATTTTTCTCTTTTTGAACAAAGACGTATTGATTGATTGATTGATTGATTGTGATATTACAATTTTTTTAAGCTTGCATACTTAATGACATTTCTATTTGTAGTTTTAGGCATTTATAACAACTGAGCTAAGAGGGAATTTTAATCCATTCATTAAAGGATATTTGATGTTTTATTTTGTCCAGGCCCTACACTCCGAGTGTGACTTGGAGCAGCAGCCATGTCGGGCTCCTACGATGACTCCATGATCGATGTCTCCAGTGACAGCTTCTGGGAGGTGAGACGCTTCACTTTCTTGACACTACCTGCCCTTCAATCCTTGCGTATTGAGATGACAATAACATCTGATTACATTTGAATATTAGTGAATATACCAAGTTAACCACAACGCAACATAAAACCCTCCCGTTTAAATATTTCATAATTAATCATCTCCACTCAGAGAGCATATTCTAGGTTAAAGGCTAACACTTTCTAGCTCCTTTTAACCATGTTTTTGTTGCTGTTTGTCAGGTTGGTAACTACAAGCGCTCAGTGAAACGGGTAGACGATGGCAGCCGGCTCTGTAATGATCTGATGACCTGCATTCATGAGCGAGCACGTATTGAGAAGTCCTACGCACAGCAGCTCTCAGAATGGGGAAAGCGCTGGCGCCAACTCATAGACAAAGGTAGGAATATTTATATTCAACTCAAGCTTTACATGAAATTGTGTGAAGCTGTTAAATCACAGCGTCAAATAATATAGCAATTCAATAAATGAAAAAGGTCCCTGTGATTGTGTGCTTTCTTTGAGACAATAATATGAAATAATAATAATAATGCCTTGACACTGATGGTGAGTAACTCTTCCCTCAGGCCCTCAGTATGGTACGCTGGAGCGGGCGTGGTCTGCTCTGTGCACGGAGGCGGAGAAGGTGAGCGAGCTCCACATGGATGTGAAGTCAGCGCTGATGGGAGAAGACTACGAGAAGCTGAAGAACTGGCAGAGAGACTCGTACCACAAACAGATGATCGGCGGCTTCAAAGAGACTAAAGAGGCGGACGACGGCTTCCGCAAGGCTCAGAAACCCTGGGGGAAGAAACTCAAAGAGGTGTGGGTCTCAAACGGGATAATGAACTAGTTTCATTTGTATTATAGGGGCATATTTAATTACGAGTAACTATCAGAATGCACTGATATCATTGAACACTTACTGTGACTCTATCAAAAAGACAATAATGTATGAGTAAAACTATTTAAACAGTAGTATTTGACTAAGTAAAGACAAAACATCCCAGTATTTTAGTCCATTAAAATAGGATGAGGTTGACTAAATAAGAACATATCTAAAAAAGAACATTTTAAAACAAGATTAAATACAGAAAAAATGCTGACAAAATTACACATAATTATGTGTCTTAAACTATAAACAGCTTTACAGAAACCACAGGTTAGCCATTTTCCAAGTCACTGATTATAGCCATGACTATGAATGTAACCCTCCAGTTCACATGACTACATATCCCTGACTCACTATTGTTTCCCTCCTTGACTACCTGCTAACTAAACAACAAGCGGTACATCATTTGCAACCCTCTTCATATTGAATAAGAAAGCTATTACCAAACACTGTGTGCCAAGGTGGCCGCCGGTAACTATATCCTGTAGTCCTTTGACTGTCAGTAGAAGGGAAGGAAACACAGAGGGAGGCTGGCAACCCCGAGTTCAAATCAGGTCACTGTATTTCCTACTAATGCTTTCATTTTAGCAGCCCGTTTACCCGGCAGCACATTACTTTCTGTCCCCACACAGGCATATAAGAATATCCACAGCCAAGTATTTGTATTTTCAAAAAGCCATTTTGCAACCTCCAGACTCCTTGCCCCCATTTCCTGTGTGTGTGATGTCACTTCGGGTGGTGACATCCTGGCCTTGTCATTGAGCAGCGACGGGACAATACAGTTTTGTAGCCCGAGTGATTTATTGATTGAAAAGACAGACAGTGACAGCGGGTAGGGGGCAGAGAGGAAATGAGGCTAATTAATTGGTCTAGAAAAATTATACGCTGACATGGGTGACGTGTGCATTATGTCAATAATAGACACATGCATGAATACAGTGCGATTCCAAGGCCCTCGTGGGTTTCAGTTTATTGCCAAACAGCTTCCTGTAATATTAAATTAGAGAGGAGGACAGGCTGATGTCTCTACTAATGTCCTTGTGTTCTTCACATGGCCTTCAGCCAGAGTTATTCTAGTCACACCACAGGGCCCTCTTCAAATAACACCACAATATCTGAGTGCGCTTCCTCAATTGTTATCTGTTGGAATTTAAATATAAACAAAGTGATATAGGAGTGGTTCCTTTCCTAAATCACTCGTCAAACTTGTCTGGCATCAGTGTTTCACTTTTTCTGGTTATAAAGTTAATTCATTCAGACATCATTTTCATTTCAAATGGAGAGAAAATCAAATGAAATGTCCTAGAAGACAAAATGGCAATAGCAGTAACATTCAGCACATTTTGAGAAAAGACAGCTATGTTTAGGCCCATTTCCAACACCTTAACCCAAAGGTCTATATCTCGTTATCCCTCAGTCACACCACAGACACCAATCTTTCTACACTTCTACAGTTGTTGGTTCCAAGTTACTTTAAAAGACTGGCACTATTAACTGCATTTCTTTGTTTATTGTTGACTCCAGATGGAAACGATGAAGAAGTCATACCACTCTGCCTGTAAAGAAGAGAAGCTGGCAGCCAGCAGGGAGACAAACAGCAAACTGGAGAGCAACAACAACCCCGAATCCCAAAAGAAGCTCCAGGAAAAGGTGGAGAAGTGTCAGCAGGAGGTGGAGAAGGTAGGGCTTCCTTTGGAAAGACATGGACGTTGTATTTTTCTAGAAAAGCTTCTCAAGATATTCCTTTTCCCCTCGCTATCTCAATTTCAGACCTCTAGTCAGGCCTGTACCAAGAAACCTCTTAGTGAGCCTGCCTTATATTATTCTATAGAAGCAAGAAACTAAACCCCTTTGTTTTTGGTAGCTGTAACGTTTATTTATTTTTAAATGGTATTTTTCACAACCATTTTTAGGTGAATAATATTTGAAACCTGTGTCTTTTGTACTCGCATCTATAACATATCATAGAACAATAGTAACAAAAAAAGCCAAATTATGATCAAGGTCGAGAAGAATTCATGTGTTTTTAATATGTTTTAATGTCACTTGATTCCTCTTTTCTCCCAGACTAAAGAACGTTATGAGAAATCCCTGGAAGAACTGGACAAGCTGACCCCTCAGTACATGGAGAACATGGAGCAGGTGTTTGAGCAGTGGCAGCAGTTTGAAGACAAACGGATTCGCTTCTTCGGGGAGCAGCTGCTGGAGGTTAAACAGCACCTCGATCTCTCAACCAATCACAGGTCAGAGGTCACATGCCAGCCTCATGGGCAGACAGGGAAGTGAGAGATTTGCTATCACCTATTCATAATGTACAATAATGCCTCCTCAGATTCCAGACAATCTACCAGACGCTGGAAGACACGGTGACTGCTACTGACGTTGAAGAGGACCTGAAATGGTTCCGGTCCAATCACGGCCCCGGCATGCCAATGAACTGGCCCCAGTTTGAGGTACTACAGCTCTGACTTATTGTAAAAATGCGTAATGTTTGATATGGGATTAGTGGAGAAGAAACATCAATAACGCTTCTCCATTTGTTCCCAAAAAGTGTTCATGTCGCAGATACACACATAATCACATTAGGATCTTTTTTTATTTTTGACTTGAAGACAAAGTAATAATCCTTATATTTTGTTTAGGGAGGTTATAATGACTAATTATAGTCCTTGCATTGCTTGAAATGCTAGCATCTCTTAAAAATAACGAGTGCTCTCCCAGGCCCAACTGCAAAATACTAAAAATGTATGAAAAAACGTCAAGGGAAACATTGCAATATCTGTGTAACATATAGCCCAAGCTGGACTCAATGTGCTGTGTCATTTTTGTCATTGATGTATGCTGTTTGGCAGCAGGGGGTTAAAGTAAATCTCTACTCAGCCGTCAGAGCAGCAATGAGGAATGAAGTTTCTGTCATCTTCCCAACAGGAGGTGAAATAAGAAAAAGAGGCCGCAAAGGGAAAGTAAAGCTCTGTGCGCTTGCATTGCTACAATTGACAGCTCTTTAAATGCTCTTGCAGGCATAGCTGTTACAATGGGGCGACTTATTGGAAGGCTTTTTAAGAAAGAAAGACACATTTTCTCTGACAAGACACACACACAATCAAAAAGAACGAGACATAATCTGTAAATGAAGTCTACCAGGGTATATATATTCAATACAACTTCACTAAGTAATGTCAAATCAATGTCAACAACAATACAACATGTTTGTATCTTGATTGCTTTACAAGATACTGGCTCTTGGTCATGTTATTTGTTATAGAAATAATACCTAAAATACTTTCCTGGTGTAAGTGTACTAACTAACAGTGCTACATATGACACTCCACACATTAAGGACTAGGCTGTGTTGTCCTCATTAACCCTTTCCACACCTGCTTCCCTTTCCCCATGTCTGACAGAATCTTGATTGGTCCCATCCTCGCTCCTTTAAGAGAAGGTCCATTGTAGTGAGTTCTGCATGGGAGGGCTGCTGTTCTTCACAGCAGCCATGGGGGGGGATCCTTTTTTTCCAATAACACTCTCACTCCTTACTGCCTCTTTTTGAGTGTTTGACGTGGTTGTGTGTGTCTATCTTTTACTCATAGAATATTTTGCTTTATTTCAAAGATGCAGACACCACAGCTCTGTCCTTTCCAAATATATGTTGATATATCCACATTTGTTCCCTTTACTTGAAAACTACAGGATCTTTACAAACCTTTTTCCTGGATATGAGAATTTCTAGAATTACTCAAAACCTGATTAAACACAGCTGAGACTGTCTCTTCTAACCTTTGAACTCTGACCCCTTTGTGACCAGTCCTCTCATAATTCATTCCACGTGAACCCTGCAGTATGTCACATAATGCCATCATGACTCAGCAATCACTCAGAGGTCATGAACCAGACAGGAAGACTTCTGATCTCTAAACGTTTGAAAGGACTGGTTAATCAGAGGGGTTAGACAAAGACTTTGGAAATCTCAAAGGTCACACTTTCTAATGCTAAGTCATTTAGTCAAAGGGACTGACTCAGAGTTATTTGAGAGTGAGACATTTACTACCAGCAAAAAAATGATATCATGTTGCTAAGTTTAGATACGGTTAATTTCTCCTGGAAGTAAAAGTCCACTCGTGTGGGGAAAAAACAAATGTATTCAAACACATTTTCTTTTCTACCGTGTTGCTGTGATGGTCTCTCTTTAATCCACTCTTCCTGGTGGAGGGGAGACTCCTTGGTGCTGTGTTTCTTTTTGCAGGTGATGGATACTGCTCGTGTTCTCTTAGCAGGCCAACACTGTACTGTAAAAACACTTGTGCTGGTACAATTTCAATACCAGGGTCAGTGTCACGGCCTGAGAAGTATTTCACACATTTTTGGTTGAAGTGCGTGTCTGGTGCTGTGACTCCCTCTACTAGCTGTGAAGGCATGTTTTGAAGATATTTTATAGTAGTGGATACTCAATGCTAATATGTGTGTGTGTGTGTGTGTGTGTGTCTCCCAGGACTGGTCCATAGATCTAAACCGGACCCTCAGCAGACGGGAAAAGAAGAAGCCATCAGAGGGCGTCACACTGACCGGCATCAGTCAAACTGGATCTGACCAGCCGGTTCAGCCTGCTAAAACCAGCAGCAGGTATATACCTCATCACTCAGCGACTCACTCTTTCTGTCTCTTACACACAAAATCTTTCCATAATACTCTCTCACACACACACACACACACACACACACACACACACACACACACACACACACACACACACACACACACTTACGTACCCTGTCCTTCTCAATCAAACTCCCCACATCAGAGATAATGCCGTAAACCACACGTTTTACTCTTTAGGAATGCTTGTAAAGCGTTGCATAAGGGGAGCTCCGGGAGTGACGTCTAGTTCCCATGGCAACAGTAAACATTTTGTCACAGTTTGTTGGGAAAGAAATCCTCCCTGCGGGATTGGAGCCGGCTGGTGAATAGTTGAAAGCCAGCCAAAAAGTAATGTGGAAATATATCCCTCACACACACACACAGACTTTCGTAGCATGGATCCTGGTACTGGGAAGTTCAAAGACGTTTTTATAAGCAAGTAATTTACAGACTTGATTGAGATTCAAGCAACAAAAGCTCTATTGACATGAAATTCAAGCCACTTCATGTTTGATTGGCAGTCTCTAATAGCCTGACGTAATGTTTTAAAGCCAGATAAGATAAGAGTTGAGGTGTCCCTGAAGAGAAATGTGTGTTTGGTGTTGTGGCAACAGCATCCAGGACATAACAGTGGTTCATGGAAACAACAACAAACATCCGATTAAGATAAAGAAATACTTCTCATGCACCCAACCTTTACGTTTAGATTTTTTAGTGACATTTGATTACCCTGTCATGAGTTCTGGTAACACTCTCCTTTATATACAGACCTCAGTCAGTCGGGTGTATATGCAGGAATCAGGAGGGTAGTGTCTAGGTCAACAAAGGGAATGTCAGGCACGGGAAGCATTTGACCTCTGAACTTGGGAATGTTGACTGCCTCTCCCCCATGAAGCCTTTACAGCTCATTGTTTTCCTGTAATTTCCTACATCTTTGGGGCGGGACTTGTTTATGTACAGGATCTGGATCGCTTATAGAGCACTTGAGGTGAAAAAACTATTTCTACATGAAGGTTGGTGACTTATCTTAGTCCTTTTTTATCAGCATCAGAACGCCAGCTCTCACCCGTACAACATATTTGCACTTTTTGATCTTTCCCCCATCTGTTTATGACACCCCTAGATTATGAAAGTAATACAGCTCTTCGAATACATTGGTTGGTAGTTTTAAAGCCAGCTTTGTTTGTTGACTGAAACCATCCCATGTTACATTGTGCCAGTGTCCCAGCAGAGCGGTGTTTGTGTAATAACTCCTCAGGCTCAGAGAGCAAGGCATGACTATGCAAACAAAGGCGTTCACTTTTCTCCGCTTCACACTCTGAAGGGCCAACTGATAGTTACTGCTGCTCATGCTCCAATGGTTCAGTAAACAGGGAGGAGAAACCCTGTGTTTCCTCTGAATCCGGTGGAGGGTGCACGGTTTTGTTCCACAATGCGGAGAGTGTCAATAGTAGGAAGTAAACAACTGACTTTCTCAGAAAGATTTAGCATTTACTCTAAGCTAGAGATTACAATTAAGTGGTTTATGTATCACTCAGAAAGTGTCTTGTTTATGTTTTTATAGCTTTGTGTTAATTATGATGACCATTGTGTGTGGGTTTTTAGCTCAAAGACAAAAACAAGTCATATTGTCGTAATGGTGTCTTTTCTATCTGTTTAGTCTAAAACAGCTCCTTGTTGATGCTACTCAGGCTTATTATAAGATAGATATACAACAATTACTGGGTCATCCATCTCAAAGTTATATTTAAGATAAGAACTTTGTCTCACTTTTTTGTGTGGACCTCAGAAGCTCCGCTAAAGTCAAGCCAAAATGTTCTTAATGCTGCGGTATAGGTCATAAAGTACGCCCTCTACATGTCAGTTGAATAGCATATCCAACACTACAATCTTAAAATTCACAGCAAATATATTTTTCCGAAGGGTTCTTCTTTTATAGTTGTTCTCGTCACGCCAATGTATGTTCGTTTTTTATACTTCCTTATTTAATTGTGGATTTAATTGGTCACTGATCAGTGTTGCCAGTCGTAGCATGTTAGCCAACATCTCCACTGAAGGCAACGTTAGCGAGTGCTGTCCTGCGCGTGTGTTCATCGTCTGTGTCATCAGACACGGAAATAACATTTCTAAATCAAAAATAAGCCAGTTTCAATTTGCTCATATATGTATTTAAAGAGAAATTGTGATTAGTTGTTGTCTTTCTACCATAAAAAAACCTAGTGCTAACAAAGCAGTTGGAAGTGATGCTTATTACAGCAGGGAGTAACTTCATTAGCTGAGTATGCTAACATTTTAGCGTACATTTTAGCGTGTCCACAGGTCATGTATGTCTTCATGTGTGTGCATGTCAGCATTAGATCTCTAAATGTGTCCCATGTTGTCAGCCTGACTGTACCCAGTAGCACAGCACCAGTGGGTTCAAACCCCTTTGATGAAGATGACGGAGAGGAGGAGAAGGAGGAGGAGGAGGAGGATGAGGATGAGGAGGAGATGGCCGTGGAGCAGCAGCAGACCATAGTCAACCACAACAGTGTGAACAAAGAGGAAATAAAAACGTTGGTGAACAGAAGAAAAAAAACAAAAAACATCGCCCACCCACTACCTCCCCGCCTTTTTCTTACTACTTTATGTCATGGATCGCCGTTAGTGCCGCGTGTCTTTCAAAACATTTCTTTGTCTCGGTTACTTCGATCCCTTCTTTCTTTACACCCCTCTCTCCTCCATCAGGTGGCCAGTTGTTGTGCTGCTCTGCATGGTCGCTGGCATTTGCACACAACGCCAATGTGTGTCTGTCCTTCTCTCCTAACAGCGCCATGTCTTGCAGAACATTATATGTCATGAACAGGGGGGGGGCGGGGGGGGGGCGCATGTATCAGCTGTGGGAAATGTCTTACAGTCAGATCTGAATATAGACACTTGTACGCATGTCTTTTATAGCACTTCTCTCACAATTGAAAGAGAGAAAAGTAATTGTAAGTTTATGAAGCAAGAATTTGGTTACAAATATGTAAATTCAAACTTTGAGCTGACCTTCATACTGCATTTTTGTTGCAGTAAATCAACAAAAATGCAGGTAAGCAAGTTTATATATGTATTAAAAGACACAAGCAGGTCTGACTGTAAATCTTTATGCGTGTGCTGGTGTTATTGTTTTCTGAACGTATAACTCTTTCTGTCAGAGCAAAGTTCTCTCTTGTGTTCAGGTGGCTCCCTCTGTTGGCCGTTCAGGTTCAAATCCAATCACCCCTTCACAACAATGATTTGTCTCGCTTGGTCTTATGTTGCTGCATTTGTCATGTGTCTGTTGTTTCGTTGCCTTCCCTCAGCATTGTGTGCACTCTCACTTGAAGCTCTTGATCTTAAAGTGTCATCCAAAAAACGTTTGAATCATTTACGTTGCAACCAATCGCTTGCTTTGTAGCATTGATGTCACAAGTAAGCATGTTCACACTTATTTAGGAGGAAGATATTTTCAGGATGAATCACAAAGCTGTCGCCTGATTTTGAAATGAGCTTTCTGTGTGTTTAACTTGGTGTTATTTTTCTTGCTTTTCTTTCTTTTGTTACTGCTTATGCCTGGCATGTTGGGTTTCCCCGTTGATGGCCCTGAGATTAACAAAAAATGGCATCTTCTAAGTGTCTCTTTTCCCTGTCCATCCAGCGCGAGCAGTATGGAGAAGACTCAGGACTGGTCAGATGAAGACACAGGTGGTAACCCTTTCTCTGCCAACGGTGACGGCAATCCGTTTGAAGACGAGCCGGCTTCTCCTGTCGTCTCTGTCCTCGTCAAAGCTCTCTACGACTATGAAGGACAGGAGCAGGACGAGCTGACCTTCAAAGCAGGTACATTCAGTGAATAGTGTGAGGAACTTTCAGACTGCAAAACCTTTCGCAATTCTGTCTGTTACCTCCAAAAACAAGTCATTTACTCATCAATTCTCTAAGTCATATCTATTTCTTTTTGTTATCCTGTGTCTCTAGCTTAAGAACATTTTAATAAGAAGGTTTTGCCAGGAATATATTTCCTAAAAATAAATATATAGTTCTTAAATAAAATGAATCTGCGAAACAGGTGAGAAAAATGTGCCTGGAAAAAAGGGTTGTCATTTTGATGCATTAATTTACATCAGGGGTGTCCAAACTACGGCCCGGGGGCCAAATGCGGCCCTCAGCAAATTCAAAAAGTATAATGTAAACATATATTACACAGTAGTATTCATGTGTTAATAAGACCACTTTTCAAATAAATTCAGTCAATTAAAGTTGGAAACATTTTCTAACGAAAAAAGCCCACTGACTTATTTACCTAACAATCTTGAAATACACCCTTCTTATTTCTCCTTATTATAATCAATCTGAGGCTTCTGTTTTAAGGGATGAGCTGCCAACACTCACAAGCATCATTTACCTACATTTGATTGATTTTGCTAACTTATAACTGAACTTATGAGGCTATATACCTCTAGTGAGTGGCCCAGCCCTTCGTATATGTTTCTGTATGTGGCCCTCGTGAAAAAAGTTTGGACCCCCCCTTGTTTACATGATTTTGGCTACAAGAGGGCAGAAGTTTAACACTACCTCATATTCGGAATAGGACAATTATTCTTGCTAAGCAAACGTTTTCACGGCTGAAAGAAAATAAGCAAATATAGAATCTCCCAAGTCAAACACATGGGTGAAACCAATTTAGATCAGACTTCACATCTTGAATCCATCGTTTCTGGAATATAAATATGTATCCCTTCTTCCTGCTGCCTCCAGGGGACGAGTTCACCAAAATCGGCGAAGAAGATGATCAGGGTTGGTGCAGAGGTCGGCTCAAGGAAGGAAAAACAGGCCTCTATCCTGCTAACTATGTGGAAGACATCCAGTAATGATTTATGACAAATCAATAAATGTGAATAAAAAGTAAGTGGTGTGTTGCGAGATGAGTGCGGCTGGGAACGAGGAGGCTCTGCATTATTCGGACCCTTTTCTAAGTGTTGGCGAAGACTGGACCGGTGTTGGAGAAGGAAGGTGGAGAAGTTGCAGATTATGAAAGGACCATTTGAAAAGTTATTGCTCGCCACAGATTGACAGTTAAAAGATGGAAATGTACCACAAGTTTCCAGATGATTTCAAGCTAAGAAGACCGCAGAGAAAAAATGCAAAGACATTACTTAGAATCCCATTTATGCTGTTACAAAAATAATAGCCTTTCAAGTATATATTAGAAGAGATTAAATGTATGTGTGGATTTATATATTGTTTAAACGAAACACTGGGAGGACACATCGTCTTGCAATGTTACATGCAGCCTTAATATGGAAGCCACTGAGGATTCATTGAGGAAGATTACCCTTTTTATAACCATGAAGATCTATTTAGGTTTAAAACCATGTTTGCCTTTTAGAATCCAGTCCGTTAATGTTAAGATTTTCTTTTTATGGACAAAGAAGGCCCTTGTGTTGAGATTATTATGTGAGATTTAACCTGATTTTAAATGAGTGCTTACCTGTCCTGCCATTCCTTTCAGGGTTGTCTTTCCACTCAGTTCATCAACTGTTCTGGTTATTTTATAAGGAATTATACAAATCAGTGGAGCGTTATCCTGATATTCTTTATTTAGTTCACAATGGGTCGGTTCCTCTAGGCACTGCAATTGAATGTATATTCACTGATTGTATTTCCTCACTTATTTTCGCTGATTACTTGTTTTTCCCAGCACTGACCCCCCCTGAACAAACTGTCCTCAAACCTTTCACACAAGTCTCTCTCTACCTTCTGTTGATTGGAGATTGCAATACTATATGGGTTATTTTACGCAACACTGAAGGTTTTTCACAAACGTTTATCTCTCCTGAATCTCTATGTTTTCATTGTCTCACTTCTTGTATAACGTCAAGACATGGGAGAATATTTGAGTGTTTTTTTGAAAATACATCACAATTGATATAGCAATAAAACCACAGCCAAGTGTGGCATTGCATACATGCATGTAAATAGCCTGGATGAAAGATATTAGAACAAATTAAGCAGCAATATCAGATGATTTGTAGTTAGGAATAGATGATTGTTAATTTATGATGCCACAAGTGCTTTTGTTATACTCTTGTTAGAATGCTGTGACTGAGAATCAGTTTGTATAGTAATTGATCGCTTGGATCTGTTATTTTGATATATTTGTAAATATTATTATCCCATAACAGATGGCCATACTCATTGAATTAATCAACGAATATGTGAATACTTGTTAATCTTTCCTTTGGATCTATGATATGAATGGACCTGATTTCTGTAGGCTTGCATTTCTGCAAAAATGAACTGCAGGTTTTTCTTTTGAGCAAGCTTCAAATAAATGAAATGCCCAGTGCATCCATGAAATCATTAAACAAAAAGCTATTTGATGTCTCTACCTGCTACATGAGAGGAAAATTAATTTGGTTGTGTTTGATAATAGTGAGAGAGGAGACCATGTTTTCAGGGCATGCTGTCAAAAAGGCAGCAACAGCTGTTCTTGCACAGTAAGGTTTGTAAATGTTGTCCCACAACATAATAAATGGATTTATTGGATAAGCATTTTGCCTTTGTCTTAAGTACTGATATTTCTTCTTTTTAAATTATACTTTTGATTCCAAAATGTGTAATGTATCTAAAAAAAGAGCCTTATCTTTTTGTTTGTGTGTGTCATGATTCCTAAAAAGTTTTGATTTCCCAGCGTCAATAGTTTCGGTGCACAGCTCTCTTGGTTGCAAAATGTCAAATCATGCAAATCTGCAGTTGTTTAACATTGCATGTATGTGTTCCACACTCAACATGCTAAAATGTAACTTAATGTAATTTAATACACCAAATTCAATGTACTATTTCCATTTAACAAATATTGTGACATGTTTGTAGTCGTTATCTTGTTGATAAATCAGCATTCAAACTCAGTAAGGATCTTCTGATCACACATCTTGGCAATAATGAATAAGATTTCCTTGAGCTCAATAATGAAAACAAATATTGTATATGAATAGATTTACTCAGAGCCGTATAATAGAATTTACTCAACTGGAGCTTCAGATAAAGTAAACTGCATTACCCAGAAGCCCTTGGTACAATAACACAACCACGGGGCGTTTTTATCCAACCAGAGCGCGGCCACGGTGTTCTCCTATAGACGTGTCGTATTCTGTTATTGAGGAAAAACACAGCGCTGTTTTTTCTGCTACTTCTCTATCCAACCGACATATATTAATAGAGACAGACAGAACAATGGCAGAGCCCAGCAGGCAGGATATCGCAGCTATTTTCAAGCGACTTCGCTCCATTCCTACCAACAAGGTGAGAGTTTTAAACAGCGGACGGTTTACTCTCTTTAACAAGGAAGTTGAACTGACACGTCGCACTTTGAGAAACGCCAACGCTAGCTTTAATGTCACATCTTAATTTACCAACAAGCTGATACTTATCGTGTTGGAAATTGTCGTTTTTTGTTTAATTGTGTCCTGGTGGGAGAACAACCTGTCAGACAACGTGTTAGCAGACGTAGCATTAGCTAAGTGGTTGACAGCTAAGCTAGGCTACATTTTGACAGTTGACATGTAGCTAGCTGTGTTTGTTCTGGCTTCACTTTTTAAAGCTCCCTTAAGGCCACTTGGGAAATATGGGACATTTGTGCATACATCCTGAATCATACCCAAATGGAAGTGTGTTTATTTTTCCAGTGGAAGTTAATTACATTGCCCATGCCAACAGCTGTTTGATTCGGCAGCACCATGCACTTTAGACCTTGTGCTTACCAACACCCTTCACTTTGTTTGCTTCCACCTGTTCTCTTTTATTGACTTTGATCGTATGTTTTTGAATAAGGTGGGGGTTGAGACATGACTCCAGCCTTTAAATCGAAATCTGTTTAATGAGATACATTTTCTCCTGTGCTCTCCTAGGTTTGCTTTGACTGCTCAGCTAAAAACCCCAGTTGGGCCAGCATCACCTACGGTGTGTTCCTGTGTATAGACTGCTCTGGGACTCACAGGTCTCTGGGGGTTCACCTGAGCTTCATCAGGTATGTCAGGACTTATTCATGATGTAGTTTCAAAGCAAAATACTAAAACATGAATTTAACTTTTATTCATCACAATACAAAACAAGACAAGGGATTAATTTCTTTTTTAGCATCTCTTTATGAACACACAGTTATATTCACATGTTTTTAGTTTTGTATATTTACATGTTGTCTGTTGTGTACATTGATATTTGAGTTATTTTTTGCAGTGCATTGTCATTGCTTCTGCCTCTGCTTTTATCACTGCTTTTATTTATTTGTGTCTATTCTTATTACTGCATTAAGAGATGCCAACGAAATGTCAATATACCTATGTATGATGACAATAAGGATATTCAGATTTGTATTCAGATTTACAAAGATGAACAATGGAATTCAATCAGCAATGGGGAAAATCATGCTGTACTACAAACAAATGCATACAATAAACAATAATGGTATTCTACATACAGCATTAGCAGTAAACGCAAAAGTAACAAAAGGCAAATTACACACAAATCAACCTTTTGCATGAGTAAATAAATACTTTAACCACATTCAAAGTTGTATTTTTCTTATTTTCTGCCTAACTATTTGTTTGTTCAAATCCTGTCATTGCTGTGTTTCACAGGTCCACTGAGCTAGATTTCAATTGGTCGTGGTTTCAGCTAAGATGTATGCAAGTGGGAGGCAATGCCGCTGCGGTGAGTACCTGAACGCAGCATATCAACACATTTTAATCGCAGTATTGCGTAAGACACATGTAAGTAAGCATAATTCTTCCTGTCGTGTTTCCTGTATCGGTTCAGATTTCCTTTTTCAGTCAACATGGTTGCACAACCAGCGCCGCCAACACCAAGTACAACAGCCGAGCCGCTCTGCAGTACAGGGAGAAGATGAAGACTTTAGCCACACAAGCCACCAGAAGACACGGCACAGAGGTAATGCAGAACTGTTTTAAAACTGGTTTAAAACATCCAACACATGCAGGTTGCTCCACAGAGGAAGCCAGAATTGGTGGTTGATAAAACACACCTTTGCTAGTAGTTACTCTTTGCATATAAAGTATATCTCAAAATGGCTGTATCAGATTAACCGCTCTCCTTCTTTTACAGTTGTGGCTGGACAGTCAGGCTCCTCTCTCCCCAACAGCACCAGAAGACAAGCAGGTGGATTTCTTCAGTCTGCACTCACAGGTAGGGGAGCTGACTCTTAATATATCCAAACGTACCTGCTTGATGTCAACCTACGCAGACAGAGGTCATTTAACCGCGTGCGTCTGTTTATTGCCCAGGGTCCTGCTGATATTATGAACACGCCCAAAATGAATCTCAGCCTCTCCACACCACCAGAGAAGCCTTTAAGCCGGGAAAAGGAGAAAGACGATGATGGTATAAAAAAAAAAAAAAACACATACTAATTGTATTGATATCAATCCCATTCATGTGGCTTATTACACTTTCATTCATTCAGGTAATCTAGATGAAGGTCCTAGTGTCGATATGCTGAGTGTTTCTCCAAAACAAAATCAAGGTTGGTTTGTATTCTTCAGGTCTATTCAACTTCAAGACTTAGTTTTTGCATGAGATGTATCTTTACTCTGCTTTGATCTCCCCAGAGCCTTCCTCTCTTCTCAAGAAGAAGCCAACTGCTGCCAAGAAATCAGTAAGTACTCAGATTTAGCTCTGTTTAGACACTACACATTATCCTAAGGATGTGTCATAGTGTGGTTTCTAATGTGTCTACTTCTAGCTGGCCTCTAAGAAGGGCGGTCTGGGCGCTCAGAAGATGAGCAGTAAGAGTTTCTCAGACCTGGAGAAGAAAGCTCAAGCTGCAGACAAACTGAGGGAGAAAGACGAGGGCACCGGTGCTGCCAAGAAGAACTATCAACCCGAGGAATCCATGTGCGTCTCTTTACTTATCTTTCTCCCCTTCCGTGGTCATACATGTATATTTTATGTAATCCTTTTTTTGCTGCTGTACTAATTTTCTTTAACTTGCCTTCTTCCTTCTCAGCGTTCCATCCTTGCGACTGGCCTGTAAAGATCTGGAGCAGCAGAGGAAAATGGAGGAGAAGATGTTTAAGGGATTGGAGGGGAATAAGAAAGAGCAAGCAGAGAGGCTGGGCATGGGGTTGGGCATGAGGAGGTATGATGATGATGATGATGATGATGATGATGATGATGATGATGATGAAGACATAACTTCTAGCTGATTTAAAGATTACAAACATATCTTTACTTGTTTCTTGCCCTCATTGTGTCTCTGCAGTGCAGTGTCTCACTCTGTGACCTCGGACATGCACATCATCCAGCAGGAGAGTCCCCAGGGGGCCAAGACCTCCAAAGGACGCCGCTTCACTGAGGAAGAGGAGGACGGAGGGTCCTTCAGCTCTAGGTCAGCCTTATAGTCTTCATTTCTAACTGTTACATGCATGTATTACTTTGTTGTTTGTTCATATATTGTAAGTTAATGCGAGTTCCCATACACTACTTGATCTTAACTCCATCTAAATATGTTCCTGGTAGCAAAGATTTTGAATGTGAACTTTAAATCTGCCTTTACTGCAGCTGTTCATTACATTACATATCCTCCACAGTATTTTCTCACCTGACATCCTTCTCTTCATTCTTTAGGGTTATGTCTCGGTTTGAGGAGACGGAGACCTCAGATAATTACTCCTCGGGTTGGAATGATAAAGGTGACGGAGGAGGCTGGATGAAGGAGAGCAAGAAACCAGAGCCGGACTTCTTCCTGACCTCCACCATTACATCGCTGAACGACAGGTAGGATAGTGTGTTGTTGTTGCTTTTATATAGTACGGATCTAACCTTCCAGAATGCAGAGCTGGTGGTTATTTTGTTATTATATCACGATTGTTTTAAATTGTAATCATTGCTTGTTATCAGGCCAACGTCCAGAAGAAAACCAGAAGCAATGCCGGTGTCAGACTCCGGAGAAGCTCAGAAAAAGTTTGGTGTTGAGGTGAAAGCCATCTCCTCCGACATGTACTTTGGAAAACAAGATAACAACGAGGTACAAACTGGAAAAAGTGGAACTTGTGAATTCATTCATCTTGCATGCTTTTTTAAATATCTATCGTAGACTGACACATCTAATCATGAATTAGACCCGTGCTGAAAGTGATCGCACATTCAACTTGACTATAAACTGTTTGAATTTTCTTTCTGTTCTTTAGTATGAAGCCAAAACTCGACTGGAGAGATATGCTGGCAGTGCCTCTATAAGCTCAGCAGACCTTTTTGATGATCCAAAGAAACAAGCTGGTAAGAGACGACAGCTCAATCACTGCCCTTGCAAAAACTATTCAATATCTAATTATTATTTACACTTAAGACACATGTAGCCTCATGCAAGAGCATTTTTTAATTATCTTCCTAATTTTTTGTAGTGTTATATGTCAGACTTGTATACATTTTAACTGCTCAAATGTTGTAAATTGCAAGTTTTAACTTGATGAATGCCACTTCTGAAACATGATCATTCATTTAATAAGGCTGCCTTTTTCTGCTTATTTGGTTGGTATGTTTTATTCATCAAAACTGTTTCACAGTCGTAAATTGAAGACAATAATAATGTGTCATTAGAGCTGTGCTGTGTGTACTAAGGCAGACATAATGAGAGAATGATGTGATGTAAACATCTGGCTTTATCAAAGCAGATCATGAATTGGGGAATTGATGGGAAACTATGACTTACAGCAAGCTCCATCAGTGAGAATAGAATAGAACTACTGACATTTACAAGTGACCAAAATATCCAAATGAATTCCTAAAAATGTACCTATCCAAGATTATGATGATAATATGTACAGAGTATTTATTTATTTCCATTGTAGTTGTCTCATTCACATAAAGACAAACTGTTCTTATGTAAAACGTGTTCTTCACTTTGTAAGGATGCACACTGTTTTTTTGTACAAGACACAATTGGTGAATTTCACAAATTCTCTTACTGTACATCACATGGGTGTTCCAATTTAAAACAAATATGTTCGTATGAGTTGTTCTCACATGTCTCTCTGCTTCCCTCGCCGTTTGTTTTGTGCTTGCAGCGAGTTCCTACCGCCTGACCAACGTTCTGCCCAACGCTCCCGACATGTCGCAGCTCAAACTGGGAGTGCGCTCAGTCGCAGGGAAACTCTCCGTCATGGCCAGCGGCGTCGTTAGCTCCATTCAGGTCGGCCATTGGATCAAGTCTATATAACCTTCTCTTATGACGAGCATTCATTCAAGTTCTAATAATTTATGTTCTTTGTTTTCCAGGATCACTACAGTTCTTGAGCCACGGCGCGTCTCCTTGGAGTTGTTGATGAGATACGTTTCCTGTGGTCACGCATCCTGGGAAAACATGTGCCCCCCTTGATGGTATCGAAATCAACTCCCCGAAAAAACCCTCTATACATCTATATCTAGTTTTTTACGAGATAATGTATATACAATTATGAGGATCGAGGGGATCAAGCACAATCTTTTTTGAGTGGAATTGTGTTCCCTTGCAGGCATCTTGAAGGAAGATCTCTGTGTAATGTTGAGTTATGAAGAATATTTAGTTTGGGGTTAATGCACCGTTTGAGGTATTGGGGTTTAAATATTTAGAAGTATTATATGTAGCAGAGGGTTTATGGTGTTTTGAAGTATGGATTTTTGATTCCTTTATTTGACTGCGTGAAAAAAAAAGAAAGCTTAGCAGTGAGGACAATTCAGTTTTCTTTTGTTTTTTTAATTGGTTAACCTACTCTCGTTCAACACATGTATTGTGCTTTTTTGCACTTTCCCACAATTTTGAAAGTGTCCTTTTCTGTCCTCTAAGTGCTCTTATGTGTGCTCCTCCACAGACAGGCCCTTTGGTTTTAATTTGTTGCTGCTTTTTCTTGGTATTGTGTTTACACCGCTGCTATGACTGTCTATGCTGCCCCCTTTTGGTTTCAATAAACATTTAATGACACACATCTAAGAAGACACTCTTGAAGGCTGGATTTCCCCTTATGCTATTTTGTAGCTCCAATGTACAGCAACGTTAGGCATCCCTTTTTAAATCCTTCATCTTTTTATTGCTGCAACATACTGCCAGGGTCGTTTGGCAAACATAGCACTACATGTACACTGTAGTCTGATTTTGGATTTTGAGGCGCTAGAAAAGCATTTATTCATGGCTCTGATATGAAATACTACGGCTCTTGCTTTTATGATTTAGGGATAAGTGCTTTATCTGGAACTGGATGATCATATTACTGATCTCTGTACTGTTAATGCTTCTCAGGAGTTTGAATTGAGTTGTTAAGTATGAAACACTATAAGAGAAAGTTGTAGATCCTTCAGTGACCAAATATTTGTTTACTCCATCACTGTAAGCCTTAGTCCAAAGATCTCTGATCAACACACTCTCATACTCCAATATTTTGGAGTCATCTGGTTAACTTGTTTGCACCTTGTTTGTTAGAAATTGCATGTGGCAGCTTGTGCTTGAATGTACTGTTCTACAATTGAATCCTTGCTTATGAGTTGAAATTGCGTCCATGTGAGACTTTAGTTTGGTTGATCTTTGTAATATTCCTTTCTGTCTTCTGCTGTTGAATATTGTTGAATGTTAGGAATAGTAAAATTGCATGACCGTTAAGGACCCGCTGACACATCCTGATTACAAAACAACATACTGGTGTTGAGACCCACTTATTAATAATGAAAAAACATTGTTCTATAAAACTGTATAGTAGTGCTACAAACCACGCTGTATAGGGCTTTGACTTTCCATTTATAGGACGCTACAGATAATCAAGTTTTGACATATTTTGACACTCAAAATGTAAGTAGGTTTTATTGAAACATGCCAAATAAATGGCTTGTGCCGAAGCCTTAAAACCTGTTTCTCTGTGTTTGATTGATTAATCTTTGTTTGGTAGAAATTAGAAGAAAAAAGTGTCCATCACAATGTCAGTCCAATTTGAGACTTAAATGTATTTTCTTGTCTCACAAACAGTGTAAAAACTATGATACATTTACAATCATACCAAAGCAGCAAATCCTGACATTAAAATAGCTTGAATCAGGAAATGTCTGATATTTATTTTTGCTTGATACATTTTCTGTCTTTCTGATTAATAGTTATTTGTAGAGTTTCCAGTTTAAAGACATCATTAATACAGCAGGCCACATCAGGACAAATGCTGGCAGTCGCTTACGTGGCTGGCTGAGGCGTTCACTGTGCTTCCTGCACTGTCGGAACTATGAACGTTAAGATTGGCACTCAGTTTAATGATTAAAAAGATTGGCAAAAGCAAATTGTAATTTTATTTTCTATTTAAAATCATTGTGTTAAATATAAATGTTAAAGATAAATTAACAATACAATAACTAATTCTTACATTTTACCTGGTTTTAGTCTAGCAATTCTGCTAATTTGGATAAATACGATCTTAATAGGAGAACCTGAAGGCATCATTTTTATCAAGGAGCAGGGTAAAGCAAAAGGATTGTTAGCGGTGACGTTTTTAATTTACCACCGTTAATTATACATTTAACAAACCTTTAGTATCCTACATTATGTTCCTACCTGTGAAAGAAGTGTTTTATTTTAGTTTGCAACTCAACGAATAGCTGGTAAGACCTTTATTTTGACTGTTGAAGTCCTTCACTGTGAAAGTTACCCACTGAGTGCCAGTGTGCTAAGATGCCTGCGGAGTTAAAACAGAGGAAGAAGTCTCAGAAACAAAGCGACCCAGTTCCAGAAACTTCGGCTACTAATGGGAAAGATGAAACGCCGAAAGTGAAGACTGAAGCTGGAAACAACGCAGGAGCAAACAAAACCTCCTCCAGTTTAGATGTTAGGAGTTTAATGTGCTTGTTGTCGCTGGCAGCGTGCGGGGCTCTCAGCTGGTGAGTATACATACATTAGTAAAGTAACTAAGTACATTTACTCAAGTAATGTGTAGTACAATCTTTAGGTTATTGTACTTTTCTTGAGTATCCATTTCTTGCAACACTGTACTTCTACCCCACTACAATTCAGAAGGTAAAATAAATATTGTACTTTTACTCCACTACATTTATTTAATAGCTTTAGTTACTTTGCAAATGTTGTCTAGTTACACCTGGAGTTATATTCACAATATACCCTGCAGCAAATTAACCTTTACCAGCTTTGATAACACTGTAATACATCAATAATTACAATAAAAAACATGTCATACTGTATACATTATACTGAAATCTGCATAATGGCTACTTTTCCTTTTGGTACTTAAAGTATATTTTTATGCTATTAACTTTGTACTTTTACTTAAGTAACATTTGGATTGCAGGAATTGTACTTGTAACAGAGTATTCTTACACTTTGATACTCCTACTTTTACTTAAAGTGGACCTATCATGCTATATTTGAATAATATAGTGTAGGACCATACCTATATAAGGCATATTTATACTTTTTTCTTTTCAAAATACCAAACAGATCATGCATTTTAGCCATGCCTCATTTAGCTCAATTTGCACTTTTTTTTAGTTCTGCTCTGCAAGGGCAGATTCAGTGAGAACTGGCCTGGCATATGTACTACAGCGTCTCCAGCGCTTTCGAACGGCAATGGCCGTGGCTGTCTCCTCCTGATTGGTGGAGTTGGCCCAATAGCCGTAGCGCCACTGTCCTGACGTCAGGACAGTGTTCAAATCTGGATCAGTTTTGATCAGATCCGTTGCAGCCCCTTTTTTAGAGATTTGGGTATGGAGGAAAATAGAGAGGGTTGTGTTTTCTGACACTTGGTGAGTTCCCTGGAACACCGGGGACACATATTCACGTATAAAAGACGTACAAAAGTGCATTTTGCATGATAGGTCCCCTTTAAGTACAAGATCCGAGTACTTCTCCCACCTCTGTTTGTAAGGAGTGTATTTCTTTACTAATGTGTCTGTGTGTTTCTCTGTTATAGGATGGTACTGCAACAGAATGACAGGTTTTCTGCAATTGAAGAAAAGTACAAATCTTTGCAAGGAAAAACTTCGAGTCTGTTCGACATGGAGGAGGAAGTCCTAAAGGTTTCTGAAAAGGTACGTTTGATTCATAGTGGAACATTATGAGAGCTGCCTTGAGGGATGGAACTTTTAAAGGGTCAATTACAAAAAAGGATTCCCATACACACACACTTTTGATGTTACATGACCAGGTTTTGAGATATTTGTGTCTGAGATTTTTACCTCCAGTCCTATAATAAGAGAATATAATTACATTTGTGGTGTTTAAAGCATTACATGTACATAATGGCATTCATTTATTCTGTTGCAAGTGAGGAATTCGATTTTTTTGGATTTTGTGTATTTGGGATAGGAAATATGTTGCTTTTCAAGAAGAAAAAAAATCCCACTAGTTTTGAGTCGGAGACATGCATATTCGTATCTGTATTTCAAAACCTGGATAAGTAATATAAAATAAAACTACGTGCATAGATAAATAAACGATAAAACATATATTAATCGTGAAAGCAATATATTCATGCAAATAAAAGAGTTTTCTGTTCAGCCTCTCAAATGTGAAGATTCTCTGCTTTTATCCGTATTAACATATTAAACAAAATATCTTTGAGTTTTTGACTGACAAATTAGCTTAGACTGTGAGAAACTGGGATGGATATTTTCTGACATTTTATATGATTACCAAATGATTAATTCATAATAAAATTGACAATTAGCCCTAGTACTCTTTCACCACTTTCTCTTTTACAGTCCACCTACACAGTGCCTTTGAGTATGCATGCGTTTTGTTTCCTGCTGTATCTGTCATGTATGAATACTGAGGTCCATAGAGCTCCCACAGAAACAGCCCTCCTGTTTTGTGTTGCGGCTGCAGCTTGCCGCCTCTGAGGACGACCTGCAGGAGGCGCTCTCCACCGTCTCCTTGGCAACACGTCTCCAGCAGGACATCTCCACCCTCCATGCTGCTGTCACGGTGATGCAGAACGACGAGAACTCCGCCTCCCGCGACCTGCAGACGGTCAGCGGCCACTTCCTGAACGTGACGGAGACGTGGCAGGTGCGTCTGGCCACCATCGCCTCCGACCTGACCGCCCTCAAGTCCGAGTCCCGGGAAGCTCATGCCGGAGCCACGGAGCGGGTCAACGAGGCCGAGCGGCAGGCCCGGTCGCTGGCGGAGAAACTGGAGGAGCTCGAGGACAGCACCAAGAGGAACGCCCGAGCTATGGAGCGCACAGAGGGGGACGACACCAAGCGATCGCAGGAACATCTGGACTGGAACACCAAGCAGATCCACCACCTGGAGGAGAAAATCAGCAGCCTGACCAAGAGGGAGGCCGAGCTCGACACCCAGCTGCAGGAGCACATCCCCCGGGCCAAGGAGTGTGAGCAGCACCTGCCCCAGGTGGAGGAGGCGGTGCGCTCCATCCTGAGGCTGGCGGGGGACCTGAGCGGGGCGGAGAAGCGCCTGGAGGAGGTGACGCTACAGGTGTTTGGGACTGAGGACAGCATGCTGAAAGCACTCGGCGAAATCCTGGAGATCAGACAGGAGCTGGACACCCTGCAGGCTCAAAACAGCATCCTGAAGATGAAGAACGAGTTATCCGTGGTTAAAGAGGCAGTCCATGAACTCACCATGGTGCTGAGGGGAACTACAGTCGACAGCCTGAAGGAGGAAGACACTCTGGACGAAGAAGGATGGAGAGAGGAGGAGGAGGAAGAGTGGGAAACATATGATGATGAGGAAACTCCACTTCTTCCTGATGAGCTCACTGAATGATGTCATTGTTTTGAGCCAACTCGAAAAAGACAGACCCACCCTGTGTTACTATTTGCTGTAAAACTGCTCAGTATTAGTTCAGTATTATTGTTTTTCAAATGTACACCTCAGTTTCATGTTACAAAAATGCTTTTGCATAAAAGTTCCCTGATTTGAACATGAACTCTGGTATACATGCACTGTATTAAACAATAGCACAATCAATCATATTTATTTTAATATTTGTTCAATGTGGACTTCCACATTTTGGTTTCTATGGCATTTGTATACAACATGACCCATTACTATGCCAAGTTGTATGACAATATCTGCTCCAGTGTTTCTAGATAAAACGACATTATAGTTAAAATGATGTCAAATTATTAATCAATTAGTTAATTGGTTTGTACTTCTAGCTTTTAAAAATGCAGGATTGCTCTTCTTTCCATCTTTAGTTTTCACATTTGAATGTATGGCAATGATTTCCTTATAGAACATATTTAATAAAATCACCTTTTTTATTGAAATTTACAAATGTGTCTTTTTCCTCCTTTTTAATCTTGTTTACTGAGGCACTACTTTCTTAACTGTGTTTTTCATAAATCTGAAACGATGCACTTTAGCGTTAGTGTTTTAAATAACTAACACACACACACACACACACACACACACACACACACATGCAGCTGTCGTGTCCTTGAATCTATGTGCTGTCTGTCCTGTTTCAGTGTGAGAGCGTCCAGCTGATGCTGCAAGGTCTCGAGGGTCAGAGGGGGGCTCTGGGGCCCCAGCTGGAGGGTCTGCAGCAGGACGTGAGCCGGCTGCAGGAGTGGTCCTCGGGGCTGAACGAGAAACGGGCTCAGCTCCAGGGCAGCCTGTCGTCGCTGAGAGACGCTGTGGGACAGATCGAGGAGCGCACCTCCGCCATCGCCAAGGACTTTGTCAACAAGGTAGGTCAGCTTCTGTTGAAGGCAAACACATATGTTATTCTGTTTGCCAGGTCTTAGGGGCATATTGTGAACCCAGAAATGTTGAGCACCCGAAAATGTTATGATAGAAATGTATAGGGTCTCCAGCACAGAGAAACTGCCCGATGCTAACTTGCGTATGTTGGGCAATTTGCACAATTAGCACAAGTTGCATTAATTTGCAGACAATAGTTAAAAAATGGCTTTGCCGATTTGGAGAATTTTTGAATGGTTTTCGAGGTAATTGAGGATGTTGAATTGATTTCTTACATTTTCAAGATCAAAAATGTCAGTTTTAACCAGAAAGTGGCATTATTTGTACTGCCGGTTAACTGATTTTGATGAATTTTCGCTCGATTTTAAAGTTTTAGGGGACTCAAAATGTATTAATGCTAATAAATTCAACTTATGCCAATTTTGCAAATTACCCAACATATGCAAGTTAGCATCCAGCGCTTTCTATGTGCTGGGGACCCTTACTATACATTTCTAACATAAAACTTGGTGGTACTCAACAATTCCGGGTTCACATGGCAAGTAAACTAGTAAGAAAAGGTTGGAATACGTTTTAACTTTTATTGCTATGTTATTTATGTGTCTCTACATTTTACTGTTGTTATTGTTAATGTTAATTAATGTAAGCAGTCACTGGCACAGCAATGTCCTTAAGGTTGTTCTTCAGTGGTAGAAAGTAACTAAGTACAATTTTTTGATATTTTTGCTTTACTTGAGTATTACATCTTTTTGCTACTTTCTACTTCTACCCCACTATCTTTAGTTACTTTGCAGATTTGGATTAATGATGAGAAATATATATAATTAACTCTTAAATCAGACTTTAGTTCCACCTGGAGTAAATTCACAAGCTACCCTGCAGTAACAGGGTGTCCGCGGGGTCTTAAAAAGTATTAAAAGTTGATAAATCAATTTAGCGAAAATGAAGGCTATTAAAAAGTATTAAAAAGTATTAAACGGCATTTTCCAAGGTATTACATTTTGTAGCTTGTTTTCAATAAGTATATAAATTGTCCAAAGAGGTTGTATTCTACAGTGTGCCTGAATGTAATCATTGCGTAGGTGTGTAGTGTGATTCTTTGTAGTTTATTTATGGCATCCTGTTGGATTTGACGTCATCTGAACAGGACATCGCACGCTCACTGCTTGATAGCGCGCGAAGGCCCGTTTGCGCCGGTTGTTAAACAACATCGTTATGGGGAAATGCAAGTCTGCGTCCAAATGGTTGGAAGATAAGGAGAAAGGACAATCAATACTGTATATAGTCAATGTGAGGTAAAGTGTGTCGCCAATGTAACCGGTTAAAACTCGAAGTGGCGATGAGGTCTTAAAATGTATGAAAAGGGTCTTAAAAAAGGTCTTAAAAGGTATTAAATTTGACTTCAGGATTCCTGCATATACCCTGAGTATACAAAGTCATTCAAACTAGCTGCACCTTTACCAGCTTTGATAACACTTTAATGATCAATCATTATAAAACATATCATATAGGCCTATATTATTCTGAAATGGTCCAATCTGCACAATGACTACTTTTACTTTTGATACTTTAAGTATATTTTGATGATAATACTTTTGTACATTTACAGAGTATTCCTACACTCTGGTACTTCTACTTTTACCTAGGTACAAGATCTGAGTTCTTCTCCCACCTCTTTTGATCTTATCTTCGACCACCACTTTAAAATGTTCCTGTTGCTGTTTGAAAAGGATTTCTCCTCTGTTCTGTGTTTGGCCTGTAGGTGGCGTCGGTGAAGACGGACGTGCGCAGGATGGAGGGCCTGCGCTCGGAGCTGGAGTCTCTGCTGACTCAGGTGACGGCGCTGGAAGACAAAACCTCTCAGGTGGAGCACAGCATGGTCAAACGCATCGGGGACGTGCTGGCCAACAGCATCGACCGGGTCCAAAATCTCCGCGACGCGTCCGAACGCAACACTAAGGCCATCGAGCAGCTCCGTAAGCAAGTCCCTGAACTCACCGCGGCTGATACACGGATCTCTGAGCACCTGAGGGAGCTGGAGAGCGGCAGAGCTCGGCTGATAAGAACAGTGACCTTTGCTAGTGACCTCAAACCAAAAGTAGCTTCTATCAAGAGAGACTTGGGGGCGTTTGAGCCTCAGCTGTCAGACCTGACTCTGCGGATAGGAAGGCTGGCCGAGGATCTGATGAAGAGAGAGCAGGAGGTCGCTGAGCTGAGACAGACTCTGGCTAACCTCACTGCTGTAGAGGGAGATTTAAGTGTTACTGCTAAACAGGTCAGTGAAATAGCTGATATCTCTGATATAGGAGCGATGCACCGGCCAACATGAGCCATACTTCAACATCATCAAGATCAAAGATTTCTCCTTTTGGTTTGTCCTCTGCAATTACATCTGGTCACCTGTACTACTGTTTGAGCATTTACTGAAATTTACATTTTTATTCAGCACATTTCTAAAAAGTGCTTAACATACATTAAAAAAAGCCCAAACCAGCAATAATATTCAAAACTATTTAAATAAAAGGTATTATAGGAAGTGAATGCCTGAAAACATCAACAAATAAAGATACAATTGAGAGGAGGAGAAAAAACTTTCAAGCGTGTGTCGGTAAATCATTTAAAATATAGCAGTAAAGGTTAACATAGGTCACTCAATAAAACAAAGACCATCAAAACAAACATTAAAGGCTTTTATAAACTTTAAAAAATAAAAAGTATTTAAAAGATGATACTGATTTACATAATTTACTCAGGAAGATTGTTTCAAAGTATTCTTGCCTTAATAGATAAAGTGCAGCCATGTTTTTTGTTTAGCCTGACCCAAAGAACAGAGCTGGTAACAATAACCCATTAGTACATTTGAATGACAACAGCAGCATCGTGTCTGTTCTTGAGTTGTAAAATGTGTTTGTATTTTGCTTGTGGCTGAGCAAGTTTGTTTTCTTTGTTGGTTCCCTCCAGCCATATGTGGTTTAACGGTTGAGGTTAACTGGTTTGTTTTGTTTTCCCACATTTTACACTGATTACATTTGATTTTCTTTGGTTCAATGGGTGTTCCTATAGCGGTGGGTTTTTAGGAAACAAATGTTTTGTTGAAAATGTAAGTATTTTGGCATACAGTAAATAAGGTATTCTGTGTCTTGCAGGAATATTTGGGTAAATACACTACACTCCAATCTCATGTTTTACAGTAAATATGAAGTTACAGCTGGCAGAGTACGAAATCAACAGGAAAACGGCTCCTGCTAATACTGGGTTATAGGTATAGTTAATAGACCCAGCTAAGAAGCAGTCAGACACATAAAAAGCACATTTTCTTAAAATGTTAGAGTTTGGGTACATTTAAAGCAGCTTTTTATGGATCATTCAGTACAATGTACCACCCAGAAAAGCCTGTCATATTTACCAATGAGGTTTTTGGTATTTTTTTGGTGGTATTTTCTACCACATAAAAAACGATGTGGTAGGAGTAGTTCCTTGAATCCGGTGGGCGCTCCACGTTACTTAAAGAGTTCATTAGGGGCCAAACGCCTTCCAGCAAAACACAACTGCTGCCTCAGGTGAAGCAGCTCTCTGCAGAGCACCTGGAAGAGAGGCAGAGCTAAACATCAAAGAAGAAAAATGGCATGTCCGCTCTTCCTGCTGCCTGCAGATGAAAGAGCTGAGCGTGTGGTATTCAGTCTACACTTGTCAAAGATTGTAGATAAGGTGGTAACCAGGTTTCGAGTTATAAACTGAGCTCTACGGGGGTCTTTAAAACTAACGCGTGCACGCACGCACGCACGCACACACACACACACGTGGAGAGTGCAGCGGTACCGCCAAACCCCCGACCCGTCTTGTAACACGGAGCCCGTTTCCTACACCATCAGGGGCGGTTCTAACCACTTTGCTGCCCTAGGCGAGATTTTTGCTGGCGCATGCCAGAAAATCGTTCTGGGAAGAAATGTTTGAAAATGTAAAGTAAAATGCTTCAATCTGGTGCACTTTAAGCACACATTACTAGAGACTAGATCTAGGGGGTACAACTCTAAACACCCATATTAAAATCGGTTTTCATTTTAATAACCAAATATGTGAACATAACCAATAACCTACCATAGTCAATAACAAATAAATGTAACTTATTTTATTTTTGTTGTTCATTCATATCTTATTTTACATAGTTAACATTTATTTATGCATATTTTTGTATCTCTCAAGTTTTAAAACGATATTTTTGGTTTACTGTCCTACAGTATACATTGAAATGATTTCAAACCTGTTTATCCAAATAATTATAAAGGAGTGCCTTGGAAATATTTGTTTACATAAATTGCATTTATCTCTCTTGCTCGCTCCCACGCCCACTTTGGCTGTGAGCTGCGGACGCCTGATAAGCCAACACCCCCCACTTTCATCACTTACAGCTCCCATTGTACAGGGCAAATGAAAAGTGTAACCGGGGTGAAAAGGGTGTTACATTTACTTAATTATGAATGTTGTTACATCAAGGCTGAAAATTAGGATGAGCGCAAACAGTCAGAGCTGCCAGCGCAGCGCCCCCCCAGATCTGGCGCCCTAGGCGACCGCCTATGTCGTCTATGCCGCCTATGCCGCCTATGTCGTCTATGCCGCCTATGTCGTCTATGCCACCTATGCCGCCTATGCCAAAAACCGGCCCTGTACACCATGCTAAATGTATGTCTGCATAAAGCTGAGTTATGATCGGTCATAATAACACAGAATTTGGTGATGTTTAAATAGCTTACAGTGAGATTTACTCCCATACTTTTGGCCATACTCACGCAGCCCTACAAATGAATTGAGATTTCCACACAAATGTTCTTTAGCAAGTGTGCAGAGCAGTGTTGATTTAAAAAAGCAATTTGAAGGTTGGATATTTGTAAACCTTTTTTTGTGTATATATATTAATAATTTAAGATGTAAATGAATTCCAGTTTATTTGTAGTACTTTCTATTTTTATTGTGACATTTGGTGGCATCAATGTGTGCATTTGATACAGATAATGGAGCAGTTGCTTTAGGGCCACAGTGTATATCCCTTAAGGTCAAATAATGAGATCCTCGACCTCCGCCCCCCTCTCGCACCTCTCAGCGCAGGCATATTGTCATTCAAGAGATGCGTAGTTCTTTTGGAAAACATGTTTTTCTTTTAGCCTATTTACCTCGTTGACGTAAATAATACTCATTACATTGACATTTGCATTATTTGTGATTAAAATAATGGTTGTTGGTAATGTATTAGCGACCCCCACAGATGTATGATTTCACTGCGTCCGTGGGAGCTCAGACCCCTCCTTATGGGAGCTCAGCTCCCATTGGCTCCCACATAACTCAAACCCTGGTGGTAACGCTTAACAAATTGAGCTTCATGTGAGAGGTTCACTCAGAATTATTTGTCGTATTTGAATATTGCAATCATGATAGAATTCATATTTAGATTTGAGCAGCCCTTTGGTACTTCACGCATATCATTAAACTTTATTTTCAGTCCCCACCCATACAATTAATCATGATGATACAGTTGAGGCAGCTTAAGAAAAACAACAAATCATATTTTTTCAAATAAGGTCACACCAAGAAAAGTCAAGAGTTTTTATTCTTGTAAAAAAAACATGTAGTGAGTAAACAAAGGAGTGCTCAAAAAGAGCATATTATTGCATTTCGGTTGGTTTAAAAAAAAAAAAAAACAGCCTTGGCACAGAAAAACAACAAAATAAAACATTAGAAAAATGAACTACAGTGCAGAATGGGTGTGGATTTGAATTCACAGATCAGCAGTACAGCTTCCTCCTGACCGAACTCCTCACATTGGCTTCTTTTCTACTAAAATGTGCAACATCGTGACCTATTTTCAGAAACAATTCTTCACAAATACAGGAAAAAGGAGTTCTGTCACTCTTTGGAATCATTGTCCACTTTTTTTGGTATGGTGATATCAGACTGCCTACTCCCTACTTTCCCTTCTTGCCTTTGGATAAGTCCTCCAGTGTCTTTGTGGTCTCCTTCAGAGCCTTCTGAAGGGCTTGGATAGCCTCATCGTGGCCTTCTAGCTTGGCCGCTCTGCTCTCCAGACCCTCCACCATGCTGGTGAGGCCCTGCAGCTGCTCCGGCTTCACGCTGCTGCTGCTGCTGTCCTCCAGAGCGGACAGCCTGCTCTTCATCTCCTCCACCTGCTGACCCAGGCTGGAGTCCTTCGAAGACAGCTTGGTCTGGGCACCACCAATAGCAGCCATGTTGGACTGCAGCTCCCCCAGACTGCTTTTCAGGGCCTCCATCTCCTGCTTGATGCCACTCTTGACCTTCTCCACAGCCTGGCCCTGTGCAGCTAGCACGCTGTCTTGAGTGTCACATTTGGCGAGCAGCGATTCCACTCTGGAGGCGATGTCTGACACCGATGCCGACAGGGAGTCTCCGCTCTCCTCTGATGTTTTGACTCTGGCTTCCAGGTCTTCTGATCTTCTCAGGATCTGGTCCGCCGCTGCGTTCACTTGCTTCTCCACGTGACTGGCGGCGTCGACGGCCTGCTCCACGCCGCTCTCCAGCGCCGAGCTTTTGTCCTTCAGAGCCTGAATGTCCGACTCTGCAGCAGACAGCGACTTCCTCAGATTCCCCACCGCCTCTTGTACCACTGACCTCACAGTTTCCACTTCCTGAGAGAGTGAAGCCACTTCCTGGTTACGAGTCTGGAGCTCTGACCTCACGGCGCCCACCTGCTCCCTGAAGGAGTCTGCCGATGTGCCTTCTGCCTCATTGGCTGCTTTGATTTCAGCCACAGCTTCCACGATGGCGGAGAGCTCCTGTTTGACCAGCGCGGGGTCCTCCATGTCCGCCAGGCGGGCCTTGAGGTCGGACAGCTGGCCCTGCGTCTCGTCCTGAGCTTCGGTGAACTCCGACACGCTGGCCTTGATGGACTGGCTCACCTCCGCCAGGCGCTCCTCCACCGTCTTCTCCAGGGAAGAGAAGTCAATCTCTCGGGCCTCCTTCACCTCCTTGATGCCCTCTGAAAGGTCCCTGAGCAAGTCGTTCTGGAGCCTCTGAAGGGCCTCCTCCACCTTCCTGGTCTCCACCTCGCCCCTCTTCATCCGGGCGATTGACCCCTCTAGCTCCACCCGTGTGATGCCCAGTGATGACTCCAGCCCGTCCACAATACTGCTCAAAGACTCCACCTGTAGACAACAGGAAAACATGCATCAGTGTGCGTTTTCAACCAACATACACTATCATCAAAACACTTGTGCATTATTAGCTAAGACACACATAAGCCTATTTACTTTTTTTACTTTTGATTGACTTTAATGAAATGTTTTATCTCAACAAATTTCACATAAATGTATTAGGTTAGTTGAAAGCAATAATATTAAGTAATACTTTTCATTTTAACTTAATATTATTTTCGACTAACCTAATACAGTTATGTGAAATCTGTTGACTTAATACATTTAATTAAAGTCAATGATTCAGTTTTTCAGTGTATGTGCAAATTAAATGTAGATGAACGCAGAAGTTAATTTTTTACATTAAAAGATGTGTGGTTAAAAACATACAGTTTTAAGAAAAGATGCCACAAGATTTTTCTTTTCTTATGGCTGTGTATTTTAACTCAATATAAATATTCACTATGCAATCATTGCTCCAATTACTATTAGTGCTTTTGTGAAATGAGCTCTGAGCCAAAGGAAACAACAAACATGTTAAACCTGTAAATGAGCATGGGCGGAGTTAAGTCATCAGTCACCACTGAATGGGGTGAAATATGTGAGTAAAGAAAAAGCTGACTGAATATAGTTTACACTGGCTACAGATACACGGTGTACTTTTACATTCAGGAAGTGAGGAGAGAATGAATGAACTGTAAGAGTGGGCTTCAATTATATGGTACCTTTTATGATCTTTGTCTTTATATATATATATTTATAAGATATAGATGTTTTATATTATCTGAAGACATTGAACACGTTTGTTTTACAAGTCTTTATGCATTTTTTATTCCAGCAAAAGTTGATGATCAGAGATGACTTGTTCTGCACATTAAGAAAGGAGGTTGTCCCTTTCCCTATAGACACAACTCATCCTTATCTTCCCTGCATCTTAAGAATCAACAAAGGCATATTGTTCTAAAAGAACATCCTAAA